AAAATCTAAATAATAAATTTCATAGTTTTAATTTGTTCAAACAATAAATTGTAACAATATTAGACTGCTTGAAAAGAGCGTAGGGCTCGCAAGAGTCTTATCTGAGTTGACAAATTGATGAACATACTTAAGAAAATAAAGAGAGGGTAAATTCTAGTTTAATCAAATCACATATTAGATACCGCTTGAAATAATCATATAATTCACGCCTAGAAGCACATAGACTACAAACTATATCTTTATGAAAGTATAGTACAGTCATATAATTCAATACAAAGATTAAACAACATATCATTGGGAAGTTTCCCATCTAAAAGGTTTCTCTATGAAAGTGTATATTTCCTGATTTTCTCATCATCCTTAACTTGGGCTTCTAACATTGCTTCTATCAAATACGTCTCTCTAATATTATCTCATTTCCAAATTGTATATACCCTTCTAAACTGCATGAGATTCATTAAGCCAGCTTTTCTCATTCTTTTAAAGCAACTGTCTAACAGAGAAATTTCCTTTCCTGACTATGGGATTCTACTTCCCATGTTTCTTTCTTCTTTTTGTATACTAGGTACTCTGCAGAAAAAGAAGCTCTCTCCTCCATTCATTTCAAGTGCCTCTCAAATTTTGATGATTAACCCCCCAACGTGCACCATGGATCAAAGTCGTTTATAGGCTTCTCTGCATGTTATTCTTCACGATCATCACAAATTTCAGCTTGTGGTCCATATAGAATTCTTGTTTCCTCCCTCAATTTCATCAAAGTAGTATTCCAAGAAAGGTCACAGAAGTGAGATCCTTCTAAGAATTTTTAGATTTCTAATGACCCTGTCTGTTAATGTTTTCTGATGATTTACATTTGACTTCACCATCTGGTTTATTATATTTGTATCCCACGGCTTTCTTTCATTTTTGAAACCTCATCACATGAATCTGCTTTACCAATCTCCAAGCTTGAATAGTCCCTCCTACTTGAATGCATTCGTGTATAGGCTCTTTTTAGTTCTGGTTTTATTTTCAACTCAATTGTCTTCCCTTGATCACCTGAATATTTCTCACATTTGTCTTGAATTTTCTTTTTATGAGAACTACTTTTTCCCTTGCAGTTGTCACTATTTAACATATCATCATTATTGAAATCAGTTTTGTGAGTCCAATAGCTAGCATCATCATGATCAAGAGATTTTAAAACCTTGTCATGGTGCCTTGAGCTTCTTCTTTTATGTTGATGATGTCTTTTGGTTGTTGGTGTCTCTATCTAATCACTCTTCAGTTTTATTACTTTCATTATTTCTTTTTTTGTTGTTCCCATGATCAACTTGGGATCCCACCATGGTCTCTTGTCTTGAGCTCCTTCACTTACTGCCATGATGTTTTCTTACTCTTTTCTTACTCAGATACTCTTTGTTTGCTTCATAAGGTTTACTGCCCTTATTTCCATCATCTGGAAAATTCCATTTTCCTCTGGAGTTTTGAGCTTTCTTCGCATGACTATGGTGGCTTTAACCATCTGAATCCATGTCTAAACAATAGTCATCAGAATAAGCTCTGCGGACTGTTTTCTTTTTGTCCCCATAATTTGTATAATCAGACCCTTTACTTGTGTATCTCAAGCTTTTATTCAAATGACCATGTTCTCTATCCTTATCCTGATCTTTGGCTACATGCCTATCTGACTAACTATCATTGGAACTGTTATCGTAATGCTTAAAGCTAGGGTTTCTCTGCCCACGAGTGCTCTCTCAAACCTTGTTTAACACCTAAATTCTAGCTGAGATGCAAGGAAAAAGAGACTCCCCTTCAAGGACTCATGGCTAAGTAATACAAAAAGCATGATCTGTAAATGCTTCAATGTTAAAATAAATCATATACTTCATAAATGATATTAGATGACTAGATTATGCAGATGTAATACAAATTTGGCTGAAACTCAATGATTTTAAAATCATTTTGTTTCTAGCAAGCCCTAAGATCCATAAATATAAGATAAACAAGAGGCCCAGGTACACCTTTTTAGCTATTATTTTTCATGTCCTAATATGTTCTTCTTTATACAACCCCCAATATTATAGAAAAAGAAATTTTTGTAATTCTGAATTGATAATTATTATTGATTTTACCAAAGTTTTTAATTTTGTGAAGTCACTTCTAATGTTTTTTTATATAAAGTTATAAGTTTTTAGAATTATTTTAGATTTCATCAGCGACATGTAAAGAGTGCAGAATTAATTTTAAATCCATTAAACTTCAAATCTCATTCTAAAATATGATATCACTAGTATTAAAATTCTTTTTGTTTAGTCAATAATAATATTTTTTTCTTTTAAAGAGAATTTTTCTCCACCCATTTATTATATCATAGAAAAATATAACTCTTTTTACTATATGAAAATCTTTTTCATGTCTATATTTTTATACATAAAAATATGTATTAAGTGTGTGATTGTAGAATATCAAATTCGAAAAAAGATGATGGTATAGATTTAAAGAAAATATTCTAAAGTTTCAAACTCTTATCAAATAAAGAAAATGCACAAATTAAAGCTTCAAGAATCCCTTTTCTTGTGATTTTATCCCATGAACTTTTTCTTGCTCATAATTAAAGAAACATGTTCTGACACTTCAACCCAAAAAAAGAAAAGATTTATTTTAATAATATGAATATTAATAATTAAAATATATTGTTTGAACAAATAAAAACTGTGAAATTTAATGTATGTAAATTTTTTTAAAAATTATAAATTTTAGAATTAAATATTAAAAACAGCAAATTGGTCATCCCTGTGATATATAAATCACATGTTCTACAAAGAAAATCTTTTTTTTTGTTGAAAAGAATACTTTCTTTATTTACTTTGATGACTTGAAGTAAATTATATGGTGTCAAGAACCCAATTGAAGAGCAAGAAGAAAAATAAGAACAGTCCCAAATTCTTCTTCACATATCAATTGACAACTAGAACACGCTGATTCAATTAAGAAAACATACAGAAT